TCTGAGCTTATGGAGAATGAATAATCAGTTTTTTTTCTCTACTTGTAGGTGATGCTGGATGGGAGTGGAAAGAAGCCAGGGAGTCCATAAATAATTGCCTTGAAATTGTCCCTCATGAAATATGTAAGGATGGCACCAATCATTGGACTCATTGCTGAGGCGCAGTAAAGTTTAGGCATGGGGCAGTGCAATTTATGTTGATATATTGTTCTGCCCACTCAAGGATGGGAGGGATGCACATTTATGTGGTCATGAGGAAGTGTCTTGTGGACAAATGTCATAATGGAGAAACTGATGAAGCATGTCCAAGCTAAGAAAATAGGCAGACACAGAGGACTTCTCTGCATTTTGTTCTTACTAAAGTACAATAAAGGTAAATTATATTTCAATCTCCACATATGCATAGATCAGTTTAGAGGAGAATGTGTTAAAAAAATGTATACACTTGGAATTATTTTATTTCCTTTACCATTATAAATCCTGCATAATAACTAAGAACTATGCTGAAGTTTAAAGATCTTTTTTTTCATTTCTCCCATTCTTTAAAATTATGATCTGTTAGGAGAAAATGAATATTGCTGTTGTTTAAAAAATTTCTCAGGGAGTTTGTTTTCACACAGTAAAAACCATGGTACAGGCCTATTCTCTGCCTGCACCTTTCCCATTTCAGCTAATCCTTGTTTAAAACTGTCATATCAATGGATTTTTTGCTCAGACATATATCAAAGAAACTCTGGAACCAAGGGTAGCACATCTCCATCACAAACGAAGCAAAGTTTCCCTCCTAAGATCTTATCAAAAGGATTAACAATAACGTTACATAATTTGAAATAAAAAACATTTAATATTATATAAAACCCTTACAATAGTCTTTATTAACTCAAGCCTTATCACTTCACATAGGGACTACTGCAGTGTGCTTCAGCTGGGCCTACTTTTGAAGCCCACCTGGAAGCTTCAGTTGGTCTAGAATGCAGTGGCACAGCTGCAGCCAGGTCTTGCTGATGTGCGCACAGTACACTTGTGCTTTAGCCCTGCACTCGTTTCCTATTAGCTTCTGAGTGTAATTCAAAGTTCTATTTTTGACAATTAAAACCTACATGTTTTGGCACCAGAGTACATATCAGGCCACCTTCTCTGCCCACTTTCTTCTACTCCATCTTGAACATCTTGGGAGAACTTGCTTACAGTTCCCCACTTTTGTGAAGTAAAAGGGTGGAGGCTCATAGGCATATTTTCTCTGTAACTGTGCCGATACTTTGGAGTAGACTTCCCTCTACCCCTGAAATTCACCCTGCCCTCATTCTACTTGGTTTCCATCAACTGTTAAAAACAGAGTTATTTTGGAGAGCCTTGGAGGGATAAGTTGAGACCATCAGATTGAGTGAATGGCAGCAGGCTAAAGTTTCATAAAGTGGAGGAGATATGCCTAGCTGTTACCACTGCCATGATCTCCAGCCTTTTTTTTTTTTTTTTTGTAACCGAAAATATTTACACTTCAGTTTGGCAACTAATGTATAGCTGGATCCATATAACATATTAAGCCATGGCTTAACGTACTGTGTGAACCCAGCCACTTGCAGGTTATTCAATAAACCATAGTTAAACTGGGGGGGGGTAGGATAAATAAGGCAGATGTGATTCAAAGCATGCATTAGTATGCAGATGGCACTTGTTGGGAACACCTTCAACAGCTCTATCTTTTCCTGTACCCATCTACCTGACCTCCAGAGCTGAAGTCCCATCCTGGGAAAAGATGTGTTGGTTTGAAATGTTCCCAACAGGTGCTATGTGTGGTCCAACACATTCTGAATTGGGATCTCTATAAAGCCTTACCCTATATTACACTTTGGTCTATCTCAGCTCTCTGTAGCTTAAAAACATAAGAGTTTCCTTCCTTTATATCTCCATTTTTTCTAGTATCTTATTTTATGCATGCTTTTGACACATTTGTAAATATAAAAAAGATACATATCTGGATTTCTTTCAAATCATGATATAGCCTGGTTTTCAGGCATAAGGAATATTGCTGGTACAAATCACAAGCTTTTAATGTTCATTCGAAGGCAGAGACATAGCTTATTAATTTGTGAGCAATGAGCTGGCTAAATGGTATAATGGACTCAACACTGCATTGCTCTTCTAAATCCCATCCAGAATCACTTATTACTTCCTATAGGCTGGAAATCAATTACAAGAAATAAATTGAAATCATTTTAGTTATTCGGTCCCTATCATTTTTACCTACAAAGTAGAATGTACTTATTAGATACCATCCTTTTTATATGGCTTAGTATTTATAGCAATAATTGGCCCAACAGTTTCTCTACTTGCAAAACCCCAAATAGTTAGACTATGGAGAAGTACTGCAAAGATATAATTCTTTACTAGCTTTCCTTTCTCTGTAACATTTTTATCTTAAGATTTCTAAAAGCTAGTATTACTTCATGTAGGATTGGAAAACTCCTTCATTTCCAATACTATAATTTTACATTTAACATAAAAGCCAAACTATCTGTTATAACTTGGAAGAATACACTCAAATTCAGACAGACATTCCTCACTGTGAAATAAGAATGAGGTATATTACTGTGCATGAGAACCATCAAACGAAAAAAAAATGCTATTATAGTTCATAATTAAGTCAGGGCACTTTTAAGTTCCAATTGGTTTATTTATGCCGATCCTTAACATATACAGTATTTATACTAAAAATAACCTACTGAGTCAGTAATTTGATTAAAAGGATTTTAAACTGGATGTTGATTAGCTAGTTTTGCAAATGTATCTATCTATGCAGAACAATTTAGTAGAACTAGCCTCAGCCTTAGATATATAATTTTGTATGGGAAGTAACAACTGACTTGATTCATTCCTAGCTTCAGATAGGGCTTCTTGGTGGCAAATTGTGAAAATTCAGTCATGAAACATTTTTTAGTCATAATATTTGTATGAACCGCTGCCACAGTAGGGCAGCTATAAATAGAAGGGTAATGAATCAGGTCCTTTTTCTTCCATGTGATTCAAATGCTTTTTCTAAATGATGGCCTGTTTTCACATGCCAATTTTTGCCAAAAATAATTTTGATTTCTGAATACAAGGTAGATCAGTTATACAGTTGGAAAGGACTTTGGGGGTTATCTGAGCCTCTACACCAGTGTTTCTCAACCTTGGCAACTTTAAGCTGCGTGGATTTCAACTCCCAGAATTCCCTAGCCACAAAGGGGGAATTCTGGGAGTTAAAGTCCTCACAGCTTAAAGTTGCCAAGGTTGAGAAACACTGCTCTACACTTTGCAGGATCCTCAGTGCAGGATGCAGTTACAGTATCTCTAACAAATGGCTGCCTAGTTTTTGTTTAAATGCCTCCAGTAAAGTGTGGCTGAATATTTCTAAAGGCTGTCTGTTTTGCTGTTGAAAAACTCCAACCATAACCTTCAGCCAAAATCTGTTTTCTTGTCATTTCCATCACTGGTTCCAGGCCTGTCATCTGAAGCAAAAGAAAACAATTTCACTTTTTTTTTTTTTTGCCAAAGCAGGAAGTGAAAGTCACTCTCATTTCTTTGGATCATTCAGACAGAACACCTTAATAGTTAATTTTTATTTAATTTACATTTATGAGATTTATATCCCACCTTTCCACCAGGGACAGAAGGTAATACACTAAGCACTCCTTCCTCCAGTTTTAGTAATAAAACCTTGACTTGATAGGCAATCAGTAATTTACCTGCATAAACCAGAATAAAAATATTTCAGAATAATCCAATATGAACTTCTGTCCATATTGCCACCTCAGCTAGTAAACTCTTCAAGTAACACAATTTAAAAAGCATATATTGGACATCATGATGCATACAAAATGCTATGTATGACACTTTGCATATGTAGAATGCTATGTATGATATACTTATATATATGAGTGTCACTTGCATATTTCATTCCATACATCATGGCATGATTTTATTATATCAATTTATATAGCCATCTTGCCAGAGATGGTTAACTTAAGGTTAAAAATAACAATCATATGGGAAATATACATGCAAGAATATATATTAAATCAGACCACCCTGTCTTTTACATGCAAGAGTTGCATGACAACCTAATTTCTACAACAAACATGCAGAATTTTCAAGGCTGGCACGGTCAGTATGGAATGAATAAGCAAAACTTTACATTAAAATAACTTTCTATAGCCCTGGAGCCCGAGAACAGAATTCTACAATGATTGGCAGCAATTATGCAGACTTTTCCAGAGCAACTTTCCCATATTATAGACTGAACCCCATTTTTCTCCAATTCCAGAAGCTCAAGAAAAGCCTGAATGAAAACACCATACAGTATATTTCTTCCAACTCTATATCATCCTCAAAAAGAGAAAGGTGAGAAATTTAAATAACAAAGAGTCAGCGTGTGAATGTGGTGAAAGCAAGGCTTGCTTGTCAAGACAGAAAGGTATGGAGAGAAGGCATCGTAGTGAATGTTGGTGGTGGTGGAAACTACGCTCACAGTTCCCATTCCTTTCTCTGAACTTAAGCCTTTAATTTCTTTGGCTTGTTGTACCTTACTCCTTTTCTACACTTCGCGTGTTGCTTACCCAAAGGAAATAACCTGATAGGAATGTAATATAAATGTACATCTTAGCTATTGTCTTCCAATTTATATCAGAAAGTCATTCTCTGCACGTCACTGGAGGGGGAAGACGGAATTCTAAGCTGTTTGAACGAAAATTGAGTCCAAGCTCACCACGTTCTCTTCCGCCTAAAAGGTAGTTGGTTGCCCCCATTGATGTTAATACTCATTCTATCTTAAAGGAAAACCCGCCCCGTTTTAACCCATTTTTCTCGTCAGCCGTTGACTTATTACTATCAGGGGCCCTTTAAGAAGGTGGAGAAGACACGCCCCCTCCTCTTGGAGATCGCCTCACAAATCGCAGGCGGGGTCACGAAAGGGGCCAATCAGCCTCTCTCTTAGTACGAGGTGAAAGAAGCCGCTGCTCAGAGATAGAGAAAGATGGAGGCTTTCCCGGAGGGTGCGGCATCGGTGGACGGCGACCGGGTGCCGCTTGCTCCCGGCCTTTCCGCTCTGGTTCCCGACAGGCTGCATCAGCGCGAAGCGGAGCGGCGAGAGGAGGCGGAGAGGAGGCGACGAGACCGCGACGCGCAGTCGGTGCTAGAAGAGCAGAGCGATTTTTTTACCGCCTCCTTCGCCCGGGAGCGGGAGGCCATCGAGGCGCTGCTGCGGTCGGAGCCGGCTCGGGGTCCCGAGGCGGCCACCTTAGCCGTGTCTGAGGCGGCTCGGCGGCTGCAGGATCTGCAGCGGCTGCTGACGGATTCGGTGCGCTTCTTGGCTCCGTATGAGGTGCGGCAGGGCCAGGCGGC